GGCGTCTGGGGCCCAAGACGGCGTCGACCCCCGAGCAGGATCTGCCGACGCAGCGCCGCCCAGGGCCGGGCAGAGGTAAACGATCTACCCTTCTCGCGCGCGGATCGTCTGGTATTGCAATAGAGATGACGGTGGGCTCCAGCTTCGCCTCCCGCATCTCGTCAAACAACGCCAAAGCCCGCTGCCACTGCCCGTCCGTCTCGCACGCACTGATCCAGGCGCTGTAGCTGATGTCGTCAGGCTGCATCTTCGCATCCCGCATCTCGCAGAGCAGCGCTAAAGCTCGCTGCCACTGCTCGCCCTTCCCGCACGCGCTGATCCCAGCGTTGTAGCTGACTAGGGCAGACCTGTGGACTCCGTCCACGACATCAGCTCGACGTGGCGAGGGGTCTCTGGGCAAGCGCGGCGTGCCTGTCGCCTCTCGTCCGCTCCCCCGCTCCTGGAGGGAATTCTGAAGCCACTGAAGGCTTCGTGGGGGCCGTTTCGGAGCCTCTTCGGCCTTCTTTTGGGCCTCCCGGGGGGCTCTTAGGGCCCTCTCGGGCCGTCTTGGGTGCCTCTTGGGCCGTCTTGGGGCCGTCTGAGGCCCGCCTCGGCGCCTCTTGGGCTGTCTTGGGCCGTCTTGGGCCGCTCCTGGGGCCGTCTTGGGTGCCTATTGGGCCGTCTTGGGCGCCTCCTGGGCCGTCCTGGGGCCGTCCTGGGGCGTCTTGGGACCGTCTTGGGGCCCTCCTGGCCCGTCTTGGGGCTCTCTTGGGGTCCTCTTCGGCCGTCTTGGAGCTCGGGAAGCCGAAGAGGCGAGGAGGCCGAAAACATCGAAAAACACAATAGAAATCGACGATTTCTGTCGCTCGGGGCCCTCTTGGGAGGCCTCTTGGGAGGCCTCTTCGGGCGTCTTGGACGCCTCTTGGGCCGTCTGGGGCGAATCTCGGGCGTCTTGGGCCCATCTGTAAGCGTGCCGGGGCTCTCCGGGGCCGTCTTGGGGGCTTGTGGGGGCACTCTCGACATGTCCTGGAGCCTGCCTGGGCGGCCCGGGGCGGCCCGGGGCCAGCCCGGGGCGGTTTTGGTGCATTGGGGCCTGCGCCATTCTGGCACGCACTGGGCCCTGCAATGTAGTAGAGACAAGGTCTGACTCGTGGACTAGCGTCCACCCACGAGTTCCCAGTATTCAGAGTGTGCTTGCTACTGCTCAATGCTTCAGGGTGCGCGCTGTTTGCTGGATGCTTCGGACGGGCTCCAGAGCAGCACTAGCAGTATCAGCAGCAGCAGCAGCAGCAGCAGATCCAGGGGCATGGGCAGTAGTAACAGCAGCCTTGCTGCTTACTTGCTTCATGTTTGCTTGCTGCTGGCGGTCAGGCTCCTTTGCGCCACTGTTAGCCTTGAGGAGCCTTGGCGTTCCGAGCTTTTTGTGAGTCACCGTTCGCTCCTGGAAGCCTTGGCGTTGAAAGTTTCGTACGTGACCTGGACCCTCTTGGGACCCTCTTCGGGAACTCCTGGGGGCCTCTCTGGGGCCTCTTGGGGCCCTGTTGGGCGATTTTTGGGCCCTCTTTGGCCGTCTCGGGGGCATCTTGGGCCATCTTGGGGCTATGCTTGGGGTCTTGGGCCGTCCTGAAGCCCGCTGGGGGTCATCTTGGGGAACTCTTGGGGCCCTCTTGGGGCCGACTTGGAAGCCACTCAGAACTCTATTGGGCCATCTTGAGGCTGTCTTGGCCGTCTTGGGGAGCGTGAGCATTTTTCAAAAACCTTAGGGGAATGTATGACTTTGGCCGCCTCGGGCCGTCACAGGGGTCCTTCCTCCTGGACCGATTTGGGAGGCTCTTGGCCTGTCGTCGGGCGCTCTTGGGACGCCCTGGGGCTGGCTGGGCGTTCCTCTTGGGCTGTTGGGGCGCCCTCTTGCGCGCCTCGGAGCCGTCTTGGGGTCTGCTGCTGCCGCTGCTGCTGCTGCTGCTGCTGCTGCTGCTGCTGCTCCTGCTGCTGTGCTGCTGCTGCTGCCTGCAGTTGCGGGGTGCTGCTGCCTGCGGCATGTTGTTGATGTTGCTGCTACCTCTGGTGCTGTGTGCTGCAGCTGCTTGCTGCGGACTGCTGCTGTGTTGCTGCTTGGGGATGCAGACCACTGCTTCTTGGAACCCTTGATGCAAGAGCTGACGCAACCTGCAGCTCGTGAGTGGACTGAGGAGAGGAGGAGCAGGGAGCGAGGAGTCAGGGTCGATGGGGGAGGTAGGGGAAGCGAGGGGCGATCACCGAGGAGCAAGGAGCAAGGAGGGAGGAGCGACAGCCGATTAGAGGGAGAGAGAGAGAGAGAGAGAGAGAAGAGAGAGAGAGCCGAAGAGGAGGGGGCAGATGCCAGTAGTCAAGATGGAACAGCGAGAGGCCAGTCAGGAGAGAGGTCGGAGGAGCGAGGAGGAGTGAGAAGAGAGGCGTCAGAAGCGAGAAGAGAGAGGCGAGGAGCGAGGAGAGGGGAGAGCGCGGCGAGGAGCGAGGGGCGTGGAGCGAAAAGGGAGGAGAAAGAAGCAGCACACGACTGTCTCACAGGTCTCGGCGCGCGTGTGGCCAAACATCTGGGTCTCCTCGTGGGTCGCTCATGGGGCTCTCTTGGGTGGCCGGCGCGGCCCCAGGGCTCTGAAAGGGATCTTCCCGCGGAAACCTCGTCGAGGCGGTCTCGGGGGCGTCTGGGGGCCTCTCGGGGGCCTCCGGGGGGGCTTCCTGGGGGGGGGCTCTCGGGGGCCTGCTGGCGGTCTCGGGGGTTCTCTTGGGGCGGAGGGTGCGACACGTTAGTTCGAGCTCCCTCTCTCAGGGCCCAGCGAGGCCCCAAAGGCGGTCCCAGCCTCCAGACGGCACGAGAGGTCATCAATGCGGTCTTCAGACGTCGCAGCAGGGCCCCACGACAGCGGAAGAGGGCTCCAAGAGGCCCCCCGAGAGGGCCCCGAGATGCACAAATCGGTGATTCGAAACCCTTCGGAAACCTGTGGGGCATCTACGATTTGGGCCTCCTCGGGGCCCCCCTGGAGGGCCTCTTGGAGTTCTCTTGGGCCAACTCGGAGGCCTTCGCGACAAGCGCGGGCTGCCTGTGGGCCAGCTAGGGCCGGGTCGGAGGCGTCTTGGGCAAACCTGGACGTCGCCGCAGGTTCGGCGGATTCCGAGCCCTACCCCCGCTGCCCATCGAGCACCCTGAACCGTGTACGGGCGAGGGTAGGGCCCGGATTTCGCCGCCGACTCTGGCATCTTCTCTGCCCGTTCTGAAGGCCGCCTTGGGCCGTCACGGATGCCGTTTGCGTCGCGGGCAGGCCGCGTCTTGGAGACGTCACAGTGGCATCTTGGAACGTGTTGGGGCCCTCTCTTGGGCCGTCGTAGGCGCGGAAAGGAGGAAAAGCTCAAATCTTTCGAACACCTCGAAGGGAGACTATGACTTGAGTCTTCTCGGACCCTCGTGGAACAGCTCCTAGAAACCTCTTAGGCCGACTCGGAGACCTCCAGGGCCGTATCCAGGCAATATTAGGCCGTCTCGAAGCAGTATTGGCCCGTGTTGGAGTCTCTCGGACCCTCCAGGGCGGCCTCGGAGGCCATCTTGGGCCTCTCAAGCCATCCTCGAAACTATCCACAACACAACTCCCTGACAAACCTCGGAAACCAACCAGAGCCTGGAAGTGCAACTCCTGGCGCATTTCGAGCACGCTGCTCCCAGCATTGTAGCTTGCTTTTGGGAGGACGCACCCAACACATTTCCGATTACATCGTCTCTTTGCTTGCTCCAAGCGGGAGGTTAGGGCAGAGAACTGAACGAAACGAATTCTGCAATAGAGCGTGACCGCCCCACGGAGAGGGAGACAGAGAGAGAGAGAGAGATGCTCACAGCATTGTAACAGAGATGGCGTCGGGCTCCAGTTTCGCCTTCCCCATCTCGTGGAGCAGCGCCAGGGCCCGCTGCCACTGCTCACCCTTCCCGCACGCGCTGGCGACGGCATTGTAGCTGAGCTGCCTGGGGCTGGCCCGTCGACTACGTCCACGATATCCCCACGCACTGGCATGCGATCGCAGAATTGGCAGACCACCCTTTAGAAACACCGCTTCCAATGAGAGCTGCCAGGGGCACCCCACGTGCGCACAGCAAGGCATGCATCCTGAATGGAAACCTGTGGGGGTAGCTCTAACCGACATCCGAAAACAATGGAGCGCACCCGGCGAAGCGCAGATCGACCAGCGAAACCGACTGGGGACTGCACCGATATGCTCGAATGCCAATGTCGAGCGAACCGGTGCAGACTTCTTCGGTCGACTTGTCTGCATGGGTGTTCCCTCAATGCCCGATGTGATCATGGGCATGCTGCCGAAAGGCACAAATGATGACGCGGGGCTCGAACTTCGCACTCCGCGCATGCTATTGCGTGCTGCTGCTTGCTGCCGCTGCGAGCTGTTGGGGATGTTTGCTGTTGCGGCGTGCTGTTGCTGCAGTTTGGGATGCCGTTTTCGGGCCTCCCTGAAAGCGGTCGTGCAGGGCTCGTGGGCAATTTCGGAAGCGTGCGGACCCGTCTTGGAGCCCTCCGGGGATCTCTTGTAGGCAGGTTGAAGCGGGATTGGGGAAGCGTTCCGAACGTTAGCTTTGGATCCCTTTACCCTCCTTGCGGCCGTCTTGGGGGGCATTCGAATGCCTCTTGAGCCGTCTTTGAGCCTCTATTTGAAGCCGCCTGGGCCGACTTGGGCGATGTCGGAAGCCTACTGGACGGGCGATGTGACATTAGCTCCGAAATCAGCAGTTGCTCCTGTTCGCGACTGTCTTGGGGGTGCTCTTGGAGCCTTCTCGAGGCGTGTGGGGGAAACCTTGTGCAACCTTTGGGGCGCTCTTGAGCTGTCGAAGGACTCTGTGGAGGCCAGCGTAGGCTCCCTCGGGCCCACTTGGGCTGTCTTGGGGCCTTCTTGCAGGAGCGGAAGCCGCGGAGCTGCCGCGGCCCATGGGGAAGCAAATGGACCCCTCAGGCACGCAGACTGTCCAGTATCGCGGTCTAGTTGACGTTGTGTTCCAACCTCGCCTCCCACATCTCGCTGAGCAGCGCCAGAGCCGGTTGCCATTGCTCGCCCTTCTCGCACGCGCTGATCCCGGCGGCGTAGCTGACCAGGGCTTTTAATCCGTGGCCTGCTGGCCACGACGAAATCCGTCCGAGATGGCACGTGAGGTTAAGGCGGACACTTCGACGGAAGGCTGTCATGAAGACGTCGGCCTTCAACTTCGCTTCTGCTGATGTTACCTGCGGCCGCAGGGTGCTGTTGCCTGCTGCGCCCTGCTGCTTGCTGTGGCTGTGCGCTTCCGTCGATGATGCTTGCTGCGGGTCGCGCGCTGCTGCTCTCCACCGCTGCTGCCTTCAGGCCGGGACGCAGGCTGCTGCTACTTGGCACGACGCGCCAGCTGACGCAGCCCGCCGCCCGTGAGCGGATCGAGGAGGGAGGAGCAGGAGGCGAGGAGTCGGGGTCGAGGAGGGGGGCGGTGGGGGAAGCGAGGGGCGATCCTCGGAGAGCAAGGGGGGGGGGGACGGGAGGAGCGCCGCCCTCGGAGAGATAGAGAGAGAGAGAGGGAGAGAGAGAGAGAGAGAGAGAAAAAAAAAAAAAGAGAGCGAAACGAGCGGGCGGGGCGGGTGAGGCCAGCGAGCGGGCGGGGCGCAGCGCTGCGGGGCGGCGGCGCGGCGCGGCGGAGCTCCTCGTCGTCGTCGTCGTCGTCGTCGTCGTCGTCGTCGTCGTCGTCGTCGTCGTCGTCGTCGTCGTCGTTCGTCTCCGGGGTTGCTTGGCGATGCAGAAGCGCTGCTTCTTGGTGCTTTCCTGCTGGCTGGCGCAGCCTGCAGGTCGTGAATGGGCGCGGTTGCGAGGAGCAAGGAGCGAGGAGCGGGGGTCGAGGAGGGAGGTGGAAGGAGCGACGGTCGAGGAGAGAGGAGCGAGGACGGATGAGGGACAGCCGAGGGAGGTGGGGGGAAAGGCGACAGCAGACAAGAGGCAAGATCGAGGGGCCAGGAGGGAGGAGCGAGGAGGAGTGAGAGGGGAGGAGCCAGACCGAGCCAGGAGCGAGGAGAGAGAGGCGAGGAGCAAGGAGAGAGCGGAAAGGAGCGATGAGCTTCGAGCGAGGGGCAAAGAGCGAGAAGGGCGACCCGAACATCGGGCAGCCCACGAATGTGCAAACGGCCTCGGCGAGCACGTAATCGAACACTTGGCCTCCTCTTGGGTCGCTCACGAGCTCCTCGTGGGACCAACTCGGGGGCCTCCTTCCGGCCTTCTCTGGCGAATATTGGGGTTCCCTTGGGGCCATCCCGCGCCTCCCGCTGCGACCACCGCTGCTGACAGTGTCTTGGCCTAGCTCAGGCCAGGTGGGCGAGGCCGTGGCCTCGAGAATCGGGTTTGTCTGGACGCATGCCGTGCAATGCGAGACACATCAGAAGCTGCCAGGAGCAGGAGGAATCGGAAAGGTGCTGTTGTGCTGCTGTGGGAGGGGTCTGGCTGGGCGCTCTGGGGGGGGCCTCTGGGCCACGATGGGGCGGTTTGTTTGGGGCCACCCGTGGGGCCGTCCCGGGGAGACATCCGGGGCCCACTGTATGGCAGCGTGGGCCCTCCTGGGTGGCCCCTGCGGGCCTCAGAGGGGCCCGCTTGGATCCTGTGGCGGCGCGCAAAGGGGATCGGGGAAGGGGGCGCGGCTTCTTAGAAGGAGGCTGCTCCTTCGACGGCGCGGGCTGCTTCTATAGATGTAGGGCCGGAGCCTGCTAATGACAAGCCTCCTTCGAAGAAGCCTCCTCCCATCCCCCTGCCCTTGTGCGCGCCGCCAGATCCTGGGATCCCCGTGCGGAATGATCTGCAACCAAAAATGGAAATTGCGAAAATGCTCAAAACGACTTCCCGTAATCCCTCTGGGTTCCCAGGGGCCGTCGGCGTAAGCTTCGAGGGGCTTGCGTCGTCTTGAAGCGTCTTAAGTAGAGGAACAACAGTTGTATAACCATGAAGGTTTGGAGCTCTGCGCGGAATTCTTGGATCGGCGTTAGGCCCCCCTGCCGGCGGCGGCGCCTCCGGCACCGCCCCTGGCGCGCTTGGCGCGCCAGGAAGGGGGGGGGGTCAGCGCCGATCCAAGAAATCCGTGCCGAGCTCCGAAGAAATATGCTTATGCCGTTTCTGTTACTCTATGATTACGTCGGGTCTCCGTGGGGCCGTCTGAGGCCCTCCGAAGGCTCCACGGGGGCCGACTGAAGCCGTTGGAGGCGCCCCGAGGCCAGTCGGGGGCCCTCAAGCCTCCAGACTGCTCGGAGAAGCTCTCAGGGCGTTCCTCGGGCTCCAGCGGCTGTCCAGAGGCCCCCAGGGGACACTCAGGACAGGGCCCTTCTGGCACGCAGGGGGCTCTGCCATGTAGAAACAACGACGCCCGGCTCCAGCATCACATCCCGCATCTTGCTCAGCAGCGCCAGAGCCCGCTGCCACTGCTCGCCCTTCTCGCACGCGCTGATCCCAGCGTTGTAGCTGATGATGACTAGGGCGAACCCGTGGACCTCGTCCACGTCATCTTGGGCCAGTCTTGGCTCGAAAAGGCCGTCTTGGGCCTGTCTTCGCTCGAAATGGCGAGGAGTGGAAATCTTTCAGGAACCATAGAAAAAACAATGATTTCGTTTGCCACAGCTCGTCTGGAGCGTCTTCGAGCGGTCTTGGGCCGTCTCGGACGCCCTCTTGGACCGCTTCCTTCTCTTCGTCCGCCTTCCGCTCTACCTCCGCCTAGACAGCCTTCGGAGCATCACAGACGGCTATGGTGGGTCTGCGGTGTACGTCTCGCCGCTTGTCAATTTTGAAAGCACCTGGGGCCTTGAAAAAAGTCACCCGGAGGGCTATGGTGACTTTTTTGCCGGTTGCCTCTTCGAAGCCTGATGGCGGGCGCTGCCGTCTCCTCGGGAACGGTTAGTGGGCCTCTCGGGGTTTCTTTTCGAGCTCCTGGGGGCATGTTGGTGCCTCGTTGGCTGTCTTGCGGCCTCCTAGGGGCCTCCTGGGGCTCTTTTGGGCAATCTTGCGGCCTCCTGGGAGTCTTTTCTGTTGAAGTTTTTTGGGGCGCCTCTGGGGCCGTTCCCAGGCTGTCCCCCCGAGCCTCTTCCGGGGGACGGCCCAGGAAATCTATTGTGCTTGCGTGCTGTGCGTGCGTGCGCCTATGTGAGAGGTCGGAAGAGTGTCCCGACGTCACCGCTCGCTCTTGGGAGCAGTGCCTGGGAGAGCTCTCTACGCTGCGTCTCGCTCTTGGGCGCCTTGGTGAGAAGAGCTTTGTACTTCACCGATCGCTCTTTAAGTGGGCGTCTCTGGGCCTGCTTGGTGGTCCTTGTGGGGGTCTTGTTCGGGCCATTCTGACGCTTTTTTTGGGTGCTCTGGGAGCGTTTTGGGACGTTTTGGGCCGTCACGGGGCGCCGGGGAGGCCTTGGACCGTCTTGGAGCTCTCTTGAGGCTGCCTGAGGCCGTCTTGGGAGCCTCTTGGGGCCCCCTCGGAGCTTTCTTGGGGCCGTCTTGGGGTTCTGTGAGGCCGTTTCAGAGCTCTCTGGCGTCGTCTTGGGGCTCTTGTGGGCCGTCTTGGAGCCCTCTTAGGGGCCGCTGGCGTCTTCTTGGAGCGATTTGGGAGGCCTCTTGGCGCGTCCTGGGCCGCTGAGGAGCACACAAGGCGGGCATGCTGAAAATATACGTTGTCCGATCGGAATTGCACGAGTTGTGCCTCTTTGGCGTGCGCTCGGGGCCCTTTTGGGGCGTCTTTGCAGCCTCTTGGATCGTCGTGGAGCCCCCCCCGGAAGGCTTCGGGCCCTCGTGGGCCGTCTCGGGACCCACTGAGGCCGTCTTGGAGCGCTCTTGGACGGTCAGGGCCCCCTCTGGAGCGCCTCTGTGACCGGCCTGAGCGTGGTCCCGTGGTGGCGCCGTAGGGCGATTTTGTGCACACGAGGCCCTGTGAACCCTTCTCGCGCGCAGATCCACTGGCCATGTAATTAGGAGAGACTAGGGTTGACCCGCGGCCTTCCGGCCGCGGAATCTGCCCGCCATGGCGTGGACGTAGAAGAGGAGCGTCTCTGGGGCCTCGCGGGTAAAGGGTGGTTGGAGAGGACGGCCTGGATGGAGGAGGTGGCCGCTGGAGGTGGAGGTGGGCGAGGGATGCAGGCAAGCAGGCCTGAAGGCAGGACCGCGGTGGTGGAGGCGGTGTCAGTGGAAGCACACCCATATAGGCATGACATGATGTGGGCAGAAGCGAAGCTGTTTCCCACGCCGCGGTCTGTGTTCATCATAGCTTCTGCGGGGAGGGTAGCCGTGAGAAGTTGATCTGCTCTTCGCCGGGGCCGAATGGTCAGTTTACCTGGTAGTGTGGTGACAATGGGGCCAATGGGCGCGGCCTAAGAAGCCCGCGAGAGGGCAGCGAGACGGCCCAAAAAGTTTCCAGGACGGGCCAAGAGGCTTCCCAGACGGCCCCAGAGGGGCCAACGAACTCCCTAAGACGGGCCCCAGTGCGAGGACACGAATCGACCTTTCGAGCGCACCGCCCCAAGACGGCCCCAAACGGCGCATAGATGGCTCCCAGAGGGTCCAAGAAGCTCCCAAGACGACGCTGTAAGTTCGACGCTCCCCAAGAGACAAGCATCCAAGGCCTCGTGGGGGCCGTTTGGGGGCATCTTTTCGTCCTCCTGGGGATCTTTCGGGGCCTTCTTGGGTAGTCTTGAATGCCTCTTGGGCCGTCTTGGGGCGATGTTGGGTCGTCTTGGCGCCTCTCGGACCATTTTGGGGCCGTCTTGGGGCATTATTGGGCCGATATTGGGCGCTCTTGGGGCTGTCTTGGGTGCTTCTTGGGCCGTCTCGGGCGCCTCTGGAGCCGTCCCGGACGGCCCAGAAACCGTCCTGGAGACTGTGCAGACGGGAAATCTTGGAGACGGGGCGGAGGGGCCGTCTCGGGCACCTCTTGAGCCGTCCCTGGGCCGTGTGGGGCCGTTTAGGGGCCCTCCTGGGGGCCTCTGGGCGCGTCTTGGGGCAAGCTGGGGGGCCTGCGTGGCCGTCCTGGACACTGTGAGGACGAAACAAAAAACATAGTAGTGAGAATGCGCGTTGTGTGTACCTGTGCTTGCTGCCACTGGCGGCGGCCTCATGCCGACGAAGGTCGCGTCGTCCATGGTGAGGTCCTCGCCGGGGCCGCGGGCCGCGCGACCGCGCGGCCGTTTGGCCGCGGCCTCATGCCGACGAAAGTCGTGTCGTCCATTGTGAGTGAGATCATCGCTGGTGCCGCGGGCGGCGCGACCGCGCGGCCGTTTGGGGCCGTCTTGGGCGCCTCTGGGGCAGTGTCGGGACCGTCTTGGGGCCGTCGCGCCAGAGGGCACGAAGAGGGCCCCCAGAGGGCTCCAAGAGGGCCCCAGGACGCCGCCGGGCGCGGGCCCGCCATTCTGCCACGAGAGGCCTTTCTGTGGGGAGGGGCCCGAAGGCCTCAAGAGGGCCGCAAGAGCGCCCCCACTGGGCCCCAAGAGGGGCCCAAACCGCATGTACTTGATATGCTTCGTGGGCTTGCGAGAGGGGCATCCAAGTGCATGCGTAATGGAGCCTTGTCGGGGCCCTCTTGGCCCGGGAGCGCTCCCACCCTGTTCTGGCCCCCTCTTGGGGCCGCCATGGCGCCTGAGGAGCTGTCCTTTCGCAGTCTTGAGCCGTCTTGGGGCCCTCCTGGCAGCCTCCTGAGGCGTCTTGGGACGATCTTGAGGGCCTGTGTGGCCGTCTTGGACGCTTCGAAGACGAAAAGCACAGGAACTCCCGAAATGTACGTTTTCCCTAGGGGTTGGGACGATGTTTCATTGTTCGGGCTCTCCTGGGGCTCTCTCTGGAGCCCACTTGGAGCATGTTGGGGGCCTCTTGGGCCGTCGGGCGGCTGTCTTGGGCGTCTTCGAGCGCTCGGGGACTGTCTCGGAGGCCCTCTTGGACCGCCTTCGGCTGTCTTCGGGCCCTCTTGGGGGCCTCTGCGAGCGGCTCGGAGCGCTCTTAAGCCATCTTGGAAGCGCGCCGGGGCCCCGGGACCGCGCCGGTGGCCGCCGGAGGGGGCCAGTCCGCTGCCACTGCTCGACAGTTTGGCGAGCGGTGAACGCTGCATTATGTGAGAGAAAAGGGCTGACCCGCGGCATTCCGGCCGCGGAATCTGCCCGCCATGGTGTGGACTCCGCACTGGGGCCGCTCAGGCGCCCGGTGCACGGGAGGATCACCGATTGGACGCTGGAGTAAATGTCCATTTAGTTTACTTGGGCTGCGCGTCAGGAGCCTTCTCGGGGTGTCTGGACTCTCTTGGGGCCTTCTTCGGGGCATTTTCGGGACATCTCTGTGGCTCCTATCGGCTTTTGGACAGTTTTGAACGCCCTCCTCGTCCTCCCCTGGGTCCTTCATCACGTTGATCTTCGTTAGGAGCCGTCTTGGTGTGACTGGACCCTCTTAGGGCCTCCTTCGGGTCATGCTCGGGACATCTCGGTGGCTTCTATCGGCTTTGGGAACCATTTTGGGCGTCCTCCTCCTCCTCCTCCTCCTCCTCCTCCTCCTCCTCCTCCTCCTCCTCCTCCTCCTCCTCCTCCCCTCGATCATTCATCCCGTCGATCTTCGATCGTCAGTCGTCGACGCTCCCCAAGGGACAAGCATCCAAGGCCTCGTGGGGGCCGTTTGGACGCATCTTTTCGTCCTCCTGGGGGTCTTTCGGGGCCCTCTTGGGCCATCTTGGGTGCCTCTTGGGCCGTTTTGGGACGATCTGGGGCCGTCTTGAGCGCCTATCGGGCCATCTTGGGGCCGTCTTGGGGCCATCTTGGTCCGTTATAAGACGCTCTTGGGGCTGTCTTGGGTGGCTCTTGGGCCGTCTCGGGCGCCTCTGGAGCCGTCCTGGGGCCGTCTCGGGCCGCTTGGGGGCCCTCATGGGTGCCTCCAGGGGCGTCTTGGGGGCCCGTACAGCTGTTCGGAGACGGTGCAAACGGAAAGCGTCCCCCCCCAAAAAAACAATGTCCCGAAGGGAATTGGACGATTCTTGCATCTTGGGGCTCTCATGGGGGTCCTCCTGGGCCGTCTCGGGAGCCTCCTGGCCTGCCCTGGAGGCCTCTCGGGCCATTCTGGGGCTCGCTTGGGGCCCCCTTGGGGCGTCTGGGCACCCTCTTGAGCGTCTCTGAGCCGTCTTGGGGCCATCTTGGAGCATCTTGGGACCCCCCGGAGGCATCTGCCGAAAACTGCACGAACGGGCACGTGATTGTGGACATGCTACCGCAAGGCTGAAAGTACAACGTACAGCTCGACCCCACGCATGCTGCTGGGTGCTGCTGCTCGCTGCCGCTGTTGCGTGTTGTTGGGAATGCTTACCGCTGCTGCCTGTGGTTGTTGTTTTCGGCTACAGCGTGATGCTGATGGCCACGTCTAATTGGTGCGTGCTGCTGACCCCTACCTGCTGCTGCTGCCGCCGCTGCTGCTGCTGCTGCTGCCGCCGCTGCTGCTGCTGCTGCTGCTGCTGCTGCTGCGTGCTGCTGACTGCTACCTGCTACTGCTGCTGCTGCTGCTGCTGCTGCTGCTGCTGCTGCTGTTGCTGTGTGCTGCCGCTGCTGCTGAATGCTTCGTGTTGCATGCTGTTACTGCCGTTCGGTAAATGGGGGGATTTGGGGCCGACGCATGATGATCTTGAGTCGTCTTGAGGCCGTGTTAGGGCCAAGGCTGGAGATTCACAAGCATGAGAGTGTGGGCCTTATTATCCAGCGACGTTCGATGGTGGCTGTGGGCGCCCGAGGAGGTCGGCGGATGCGCGCAGGCTGCGTAGGCTCGGGAGAAACTCGAAGCCACTGCGGAGCATGCCCCCAGTGGCCGGCCAGTCTGGAGCACTGGAGGGTCTCATGGGACCTCCCTGGGCCGTCTTGCGGCCTTGCTGGGCCGTTTGTATATATATATATAAATGTGTATATATATGTGTATATATGTACATAGATTGGCGACCTCTTGGACCGTCTGGAGGTGTCTCGGGATATATATATATATATATATATATATATATATACTAGAACCACGCGCGCGCTTCGCGCGCGCTTGGATTCTAGCTAGGAGGCGAGCTTGAGTCAACGAAAGTCGCAGGGAAGGGGGCAGGGGGAAGAAGGCCAGAGAGCGCTGAAGGATACAAATACTGGAACCCTCTTGTGATTTTGTGGGGGGCCTCGTCCGGCCGCTCGCTGGGAGTTTGACGTAGCTTCTCGGGAGCCTCTGAACCTGTCGGGGGCCTCCTGGAAGCAGGTTCGAAGCATTTTGGTGGCCGATTTGGGGCTTCTCGGGGCCTCCTTTGGGCCTCTTGGGGGTCTCCTGGGGCCTCTTGAGGGGCCTCCTTGGGGCCTCCTGGCGGCCTCTTGGGGCGGAAGGCTCGAGCTTGCGGTTCGTGGTCCCCCTCTGGGCCCCCTCTTGGGCCCGTCTTGGGGCCCTCTTGGGCCATCTTGGGCGCCTCTTGGGCCGTCTTGGGGCCCTCTTGGGCTGTCCTGGGGCCCTCTTGGAAGCTTCTTGGGCCGTCTTGGGGCGGTCTTGGAGGCCTCTTGGGCCGTCTTGGACGCGGTGAAAGCCCAGATGCGAACATGCGAAAAATATACGTTTTCCCATAGGAATGCACGATTTTTGTTTCTTGGACCTCTCTTGGGGTGCCTCTCGGAACGTCTTGGGCTGATTTTGGAAGCCTTTTGGCGGCGTTTTGGCGCCTCCTGGGATATGTTGGGCCGGAAGCTCGGAATTCGAGAGTGGCTTTCTCCTTCTGGGACCCCTCTCGAAGTCGTCTTGGGGTTCTCTTGGGCCGTCTTGGCGCCGTCCTGAGCCACTCGTGCGCAGCCTTGGAGCGCTCCCGGAGGCCTCCTCGGCCGTCTTGGAGGCCTCTTGGGCCGTCTTGGACGCGGTGAAAGCCCAAGTTGCGAACATGCGAAAAATATACGTTTTCCCATAGGAATGGCACGATTTTTGTTTCTTGGACCTCTCTTGGGGTGCCTCTCGGAACGTCTTGGGGTGCTTTTGGGAGCCTTTTGGCGCCTCTTGGCGGCATTTTGGCGCCTCCTGGAGCCTCTTGGGCCGGAAGCTCGGAATTCGAGGTTGGCTTTCTCCGTCTGGGACCCCTCTCGAACTCGTCTTGGGGCTCTCTTCGGCCGTCTTGGGGCCGTCCTGGGCCACTCGTGCGCAGCCTTGGAGCGCTCCCGGAGGCCTCGTAGACCGTCTTGGGCGCCTCTTGGGCCGTCTTGGACGCGGTGAAAGCCCAAGAGGCGAACATGCGAAAAATATACGTTTTCCCATAGGAATGGCACGATTTTTGCTTCTTGGGCCTCTCTTGGGCTGCCTCTCGGAGCGTCTTGGAGGCTTCTGGGACCTTCTTGGTGTCATGACAGGCGTCTTGGAAGGCATCTGGAGCCATCGGAGCGCGTTCCGAAGCCGCCTGCGAACGATCTTGGACGGCGTCCAGCGGTCCGACGAGCCTCCGGGCCCCCCGGGGCCCACAATTGTGGTCGGGGTCCCGGCCCCGGGCCCCCCCGGACCCGGTGCGCCGTTATATGTATATATCTTGGGCCGTCTTGGGGCCCTCTTGGGCCGTTCTTGAACCCTGTGGGGGGAGCCTGGAGCGCGTCGGGGCCAGCTGGGGGCATGTCGTTGCTGCCCCTTTTGATTCCTCGTCCTTCTGGCACGCGTCTCTCCCGGCGTTGCAAGATAGACTGGGGCTGGCCCGCAGCCTATGTTCCCGGAGTCTGCATGGAGTGGGGTGTGACTGTGGACGAGCTGCCCACAGGATGAAGCCACAGCATCGGGCTCGGACTTCTTATGGCACTGCCTGGCTCCGATGTGCTGTCCGATCGTGTTTCCCCCCTCCTCGGATTTCTTCCTGCCCGCCAGCTTCCAATGTGCTCTCCGATCCTGTCTCCCCCCTCGAAAATCCTTTCGGCCCGTGTCCGACAGATTCCCCAAACCGTTTGTCAGAAAGAGTTCTGTATAATGCTTCTGACGCCCGTTGATGGAGCCAGGCCCCCCCCGAACTCGGTGGAACATGGGGCACAGGAGGACAAACTAGCATGAAGCTCTGGACCGAACATGCAGCGCGAATCCCTTATCGCAGATCGTTACCCGAGCGGCATGGCCAGAGCGCGCCCGCCACCGAGCAGATGCAAACTAAAAGATGTCTGAGCGCGCGCGCGTCGCCCCCGAGGGGCCGACGCACACATAATATGAGTACACGTCGGTCGGAAGAAATAACTAAAAACATGAAGTAGGAAGGCGGATTAAGTTGATTGGGTCCAGGCACCCCCCAGGGGATAACAAAACACAGCACAAGCGTGTCGATTCTTGACATAGGAAGGCGCTTGAAGTAGATTGGGGCCCGGGAATCCAGAAACACCTACTTTCAACGAACGGCGTGTACGTTTATGGAATGATGCCGAGCACATGGTGCCCCCCCCCATTCGTGGGCCCCCACCGTGGCCCCTCTGTCGTACGCCCCCCTCTAGGCCTCTACAGTCGGACCTAGGCCAGGAGAACACCCCTCGGGAGCACGAGACCCTCCGTCGGCCAAGACAAACAGAACATCCAAGGGTACACTCCCCAGGGTGCACAAGAGCATCCAACAAGCACAAAGAACATTAGGGGGCCCTCCCCGAACCGACCTCGATCTTATACCTCGGTCCGACTGCATCAGGACCCCCATCGTGTAACTGTGCAAAGCTCTGCAGGGTCGTTTGCCGCAATGGTGCTCTTTTCCGATTGCGTTCCCCCGTCCTCGAACTTTCTCCCGGCCCGTTCCCGATTTTGTGTTCCATTCGCGGTCTGCCTCCTCCTCGAAATCCCTTCCAGCCCGTGTGTTCCCGTCATCGAATTTGCCTCCGACCCGTGTCCTATTTGCCCCCCTTCCTCGAAATTCCTTCCGGCCCGGGTCCGCGCTGCTTTTTGATCGCGTGCCTCCTCTCCTCGGATTTCCTTTTGGCCTGTTCTCCGATTTGCTTTCCGATCGCGTTGCGTCCCTCCTCGATATGTCGTCGGGCACGCTCTCCGATTTGCTTTCCTGTCACGTTGTATTCCTCGAATTTCCGTCCGGCCCGTGTCCGATGTGCTGTTCGATCGCGTGTCCCCCCTCCTCGAATATTCTTCTGGCCTGTGTCCGACATGCTTTACCATCGCGTTGCCCCCCTCCTCGAAGTTGCCCCTGGCCCGGTTGCGATCTGCTTTCCAATCGCGCCCCCCCCTCCTCGAAGTTCCTTCAAGCCATTGTCCGAGTTGCTTTCCGACCGCGTCGCGTGTCGCCCGTCCTCGAACTTCTTTCCAACCAATGTCTGATTTGCTTTCAAGTCGTGGTTCGACCCTCCTGGCTTGGATGCGTCTAGGAGGCTCTGGCAGGCCGCTTGGGGTCTCTTGAGGGCCTTTTTGGGGGTTGCTGTGAAACGTCTGGGAGTCTCTTCGAGACCTCTCTGGGGGTCTCTCCTGGACTTCGGGGAGCCTCTTGGAGGCGTCTGGGGGCCTGCTTGCCATGGAGGAGGCCGGATCGAGGGGAAGCCTTCGGAATGCACACTCCGTCCCCCTCTTGGGGCTGTCCTGTGGGCATTGTGGACGATTCTGGGGAGCGGGGAGTACTGTCGCGCAGACGGAGGAGGTGGAGGACCAAGAGGAGGAGGAGGAGGAGGAGGAGGAGGTGGAGGAGAAGGAGGAGGAGGAGGAGGGGCCTTGGGAGCAGTCTCGGGGCCCTCCTGGGACCTCTTGGGGCCCTCTTGGGTGCGGCGTGGGCCGCCCTGGGGCGATGACTCGAAGCCTCTTCGGCCGTCGTGGGCGCTATGAGGAAAGAAAGCGCGTGTGAGAGCATGCTCCGGACAAGAGCAAAGGAACTCTGCAGCCTGCGCTTCTGGAGGTCCTTTCGGGTGTTCTCTTGGAGCCTTGTCGGGGCATGTTGAAGGCCTTCTGGGCCGTACAGTAGGGGGGCTCGACCACACGAAACCTTCCACAAGAAACCCATCCCTGAAACCACAGGATGTCCATTGATTTTTGGTGTGGGAACGAAGCCCAAGAAACCCAGGTCACCCCAGAGGCAAGCAGGGTGTTTCTTAGCATGGGTTTCCGCTCTATTGAGGCTTTCTTGGGCCGCCTTGGGGTTCTCCTGGGCCGTCCTGGAGCCCCCTTTGGGCTGTCCTCGGGCCATCCTGCGCCAGGACGGCGGCGCCCCATCGAGCGCGGCCGAGGAGGCGCATCCCGCACAGGCCTGGGCCCCAGAAGTGTGTGCAAGGCTCTCGTCTGGCACAACAGAGATGCCCAGTACTGTACAGTGCGAGCGCGGCCGCCAGAAACCCTCGCAAGAAACCCCCAGCTCTGCAAACCCGCGGCGCGAAGTGCACCTGAGGGGAAACCCGGAGCACTTTGAACGCAGCAGCTTCTTCAACGGCTGCGGGAAGTCACCGCGAACGCGCGGAGCGAAGAGACCCAGGGTACCCTGATGCGCACCACCACTGTAGCATGGATGGCAGTGGGCTTCAGCTTCGACTCCCGCATCTCGCTCAGCAGCGCCAAAGCCCGCTGCCACTGCTCGCCCTTCTCGCACGCGCTGACCCCAGCGTTGTAGGAGAGACCAGGGCTGACCCGAGGACTACGTCCACCTGCGGGGGGAATAGGGGGTGCTGCCAGGCGCACTCGAAGAAATTTGGCCCCACGCGCGTGTTCCACATCTCGCTGAGCAGCGGGAACGCCCGGTGGCACCGCCTCTGTACCCTTCGCCGCCGCCGCGCGGGAAGAAACCGCCAGGCGCACGTGGAGCATGTGCCGCACCTGGCATGCTTGGGCCTCCAGGGTGCCTGGTGCACTTGGAACCCGTGGCACACATGGCATGTGTAGCGTTCCTAAGCGATTTGCAGACGCTCGGGTGTTACTCATGTGCTGGGAGGGCGGGTGGGAGTGAGCTAGACGGCCTGCTATCTAGGAGGGTAGCTTGACCCCTCCCCCTACCCCTACCCCCTCCCCTGGGCCTCGAGGGGGGAGTGATGTGTCAGAGGGTGCTTTTTGGTCCAAGACGGCTCCATGAGGGCCTCGGCGAGTCCAAGATGGTTTCCAGGATGGGTCAATGTACCCCACGATGGCTCAAGAAAGCCTCCGACGCACATCCAAGAGGCCTCAAGATGGCCACAAGACCGTTTCCAATACCCGCCGAGCCCTCCTCCTAGGACCCCCTCCAAGCGGCCAACATGGCAATGGAACATAAAGGAAATCCGTGTGTGTGTGAGCGAGTGAGTGAGTGAGTGAGTGAGTGAGTGTGTGTGTGTGTTGTGTGTGTTGTGTGTGTTGTGTTGTGTTGTGTTGTGTTGTGTTGTGTTGTGTTGTGTTGTGTTGTGTTGTGTTGTGTTGTGCTGTGCTGTGCTGTGATGTGCTGTGCTGTGCTGTGCTGTGCTGTGCTGTGTTGTGTTGTGTTGTGTTGTGTTGTGTTGTGTTCTGTTGTGTTGTGTTGTGTTGTGTTGTGTTGTGTTGTGTTGTGTTGTGTTGTGTTGTGTTGTGTTGTGTTGTGTTGGTGAGTGTGTGAGTGTGTGAGTGTGTGTGTGTGTGCGCGTGCGTGTGTGTGTGTGTGTATGTGTGTCTGTGTGTGTGCGTGCGTGCGTGCGTGCGTGCGTGCGTGTGTGTGTGTGTGTGTCTGTGTATCTGTGTATCTGTGTATCCGTGTATCTGTGTATCTGTGTATATGTGTATCTGTGTGTGTGTCTGTGTGTGTCTGTGTGTGTCTGTGTGTGTTTCTGTGTGTGCGTGTCTGTGTGTGTGTTGCCTTCTCGCTTTTTTACCTAACAGCCTTTGCTGATAGGTTTCTAATGGACTCAAAAGAGAGCAGCAGATGACTCCACAGGGGGGTCTGGGCGGGACCCGGGGAGGCTGCCGCCGAAGCCGAAATCGCTTGGGACATCCTCGCAAAATCGCTCTTGGTGCTCCCAGAACTCCATTCCCGGGCCACATTTTGGATGCCCGGAGCCAACTGTAGGCCACTTCGTGCTCTTCGACTTCCCAGAACTCCATTCCCGGGCCACATTTTGGATGCCCGGAGCCAACTGTAGGCCACTTCGTGCTCTTCGATTTCCCAGAACTCCATTCCCGGGCCACATTTTGGATGCCCGGAGCCAACTGTAGGCCACGTCGTGCTCTTCAAGTTCCCAGAACTCCATTCCTGGGCATGATTTTGAATGCCCGGAGCCAACTGTAGGCCACTTCGTGTTCTTCGAGTTCCCAGAACTCCATTCCTGGGCCACATTTTGAATGCTGAGGCAGGCTGAGGCTGAGGCTGAGGCAGGCTGATGCTGAGGCAGGCTGAGGCTGAGGCTGAGGCTGAAGGCAGACTGAGGCTGAGGCTGAAGGGCAGACTGAGGCTGAGGCTGGGCAGGCTGAGGCTGGGCTGAAGCAGGCTGATGCTGAGGCAGGCTGAGGCTGAGGCTGAGCTGATGCAGGCTGAGGCTGAGGCAGGCTGAGGCTGATGCCGAGGCTGAAGGCAGACTGAGGCTGAGGCTGAAGCAGGCTGAGGCTGAGGCTGAGGCAGGCTGAGGCTGAGGCAGGCTGAGGCTGAGGCTGAGGCAGGCTGAGGCTGAGACTGCCGTTGCCGCTGCGACTGTCATCGCGAATGGGACTACGACTGCGAGAACAGCAGAATTCGACAACTGGATTTTCATCTGAATCGTAAGGGGAATGCTTTCAGATATGCTTCTACACATCGCTGTTAGGTTGCTTTGCCGGGATAATTGTTCCCGATGGGCTTTGGAATCCTCGATATAACCCCAAGGCGGCCTAAGAGATGCCCTCAAGAGGGCCCCAAGAGGGCCCCAAGAGCGCCCAAGAGCGCTCCAAGAGCGGCTCAGCATGGCCCCAAGACCCCACGATGGCTCAACATAGCCTCCGACGCACATCCAAGAGACCTCAAGATGGCCACAAGACGGTTTCCAGTGCCCGCCGAGCCCTCCTCCTAGAACCCACTCCAAGAGGCCAACATGGCAGTGGAACATAAGGGAAATCAGTGTGTGTGTGTGTGAGTGAGTGAGTGAGTG